CCTTCTTAGACTCCTCTTGGCTATGACAGTTTCTCAGGCATTCCTTGTTTTGGATGACCTTGACAGTTTTGAGGAGTACTAGTCAGGTATATTGTAGGATGTCCCTCTCTTGGAATTTTGCTGATGATTTTGTCATGATTAGATTGGTATTATGGGTTTGGAAAGGGGAGGACCACAGAGGAAAGTGCTATCCTCATGATATCATATCAAAGATACATACCATCAACAATGACTTATCACTGTTTTTTTTTTTTTTTCAGAATATTACAGGGGTGCAAACGCTTTGGTTACATATACTGCCTTTGCACCGCCCAAGTCAGAGCTACAAACATGCCCATCCCTCAGACAGCACACTACACCCATTAGGTGTGAATTTGCCCATCCGCTCCTTCCCCCTCCCACCTGCCCAACACTTATCACTGTTAATATCAATCTTGATCACCTGGCAGAAGTAGTGTTTTTCAGGTTTCCAAACTGTAAAGTTACTCTTTCCCCCCTTTTCCACACTATACTTTCTTTGGAAGGAAGTCACTGTGCCCAGCCAACACTTAAAAAGTATGGAGTATCAACACAAATGATTTGTAATTCTTCTGCACAGGAGATTTGTCTATTCTCCCCCATTTATTCAGTCATTTATTTATCAGCATGTCTATGCTGATAAATGGATATAAATTTTATACTTTGAGGGAGAGCAGGGGTGGAAAAAATTTTTATACTTTGAGAAATATTTCTTTTTATTGGGAATGTATGTTGATTTTTATTAAACACAATGTATACATTTTTTCACACTGTAATATCTTTAATTAAGTACAAATAACTTTTTAACATGTTATTATGTTACATGGAGACCATTTCACCCACTGCTCTGTTTGGCTGCCAGTCTCTTATCCCTCTCTTCAGCAATGGTGAGGCGGATACCTTTTCCTCGAGGAAGAGAAATCCATGGTTTGTTGCCTTTGCCAATAACAAAAATGTTGAAGAGGCGAGTCCCAAAGCTGTTGCCATTGGCATCTTTCACGTGAACCACATCAAAAGACCCGGGATATCTTTCTCTGTTGGTGATCACACCAATTCTTCCCAGGTTAGCGCCTCCAGTCACCATACACAGGTTACCAGTGTCAAACTTGATGAAATCAGTAATCTTGTGAGTCTCCAAATCAATCTGAATGGTGTCATTCACTTTGATGAGTGGATCAGGATAGCGGATGGTGCGAGCATCATGAGTCACCAGATGAGGGATTCCTTTTGTGCCCACAAAGATTTTTCTCACTTTGCACAACTTGTACTTGACCTCCTCAGGTGTGATACGACGAACAGCAAAGCAACCCTTGGTGTCATAAATCAGATGGAAATTCTCTCCAGTCTTGTCAATGCTGATGACATCCATAAATCCAGCAGGGTAGGTTATATCAGTTCGGACCTTGCCATCAATTTTAATGAAACGCTGCATGCAGATCTTCTTCACTTCATCTCCTGTCAGGGCATACTTAAGCCTGTTTCTTAGGAAAATGATGAATGGGAGACACTCTCTCAGCTTGTGGGGACCGGTGGATGGACGAGGAGCAAACACACCGGTCAGCTTATCCAGCATCCAATGCTTTGGAGCTGCTACACACTTCAGATGCTTCTTGGGACCACGGGCCATGGCTGCACTAAGCACAGAAAGAGCCACAATGTATACATTTACTGTAATCAGGAAAATGCAAATTAAAAATTACAATGAGATACCATCTTACTCCAATTAGAATGGCCATTATTAAAAAGTAAAAAAAACATTAGATATTAGTGTGGATGCAATGAAAATGAAACACTTATACACTGTTGGTGCAAATGTAAATTAGTATGAAAATTTCTCAAAGAACTAAAAGTAGATCCACCATTTGATCCTGCAAACCCAGTACTAGGTATCTAAGCAGAGGAAAATAAATCATTATATCCAAAAGACATCTCTACTCATATGTTTATCACAGCACAATTCACAATTGCAGAAATATGGAATGTACTTAAGTGCCCATCAACTGATGAATGGATTAAGAAATTGTGATACACACACACACACATACACACACACACACATACACACACACACACACAATGGAGTACTATTCAGCAATAAGAAAGAGTGAAATTAATGTCTTTTGCAGCAACTTGGATGGAACTGGAGGACATTATCCTAAGTGAAGTAACTCTGGAACAGAAAAATGAATGCTACATATTCTCACTTATAAGTGGGAACTAAACTATGGCTACATAAAAGGCACACAGAGTGGTATAATGGACATTGTAGACTCAAAAGGGTGAAGGTGGGAGGAGGTGAGACATGAAAAATTACCTATCGGGTACAATGTACATACACTACTCAGGTGATGGGTACACCAAAAGCCCGGACTTCAACACTATACAATATATACATGTAACAGAAGTCAACTTTTACCCCCCAAAACTTGAAATTTAAAAAGAAAGTAATAAATCTACTGTAGATATGATTTGTCTCATTCAATCTGTTAATATAGTTAGCCAGTCCTGAGACTATTTGCTCCCAGAAAGTCTCCCTTTGTTGCCCAGGCTAGAGTATGTGCTATGGCTTCAGCATAGCTCACAGCAACCTCAAACTCCTGGGCTCAAGCAATCCTTCTGCCTCTGCCTTCCAAGTAGCTGGGACTACAGGCATGCACCATCATGCCAGGCTAATTTTTTCTATATATATTAGTTGGCCAATTAATTTCTTTTTATTTATAGTAGAGACGGGGTCTCGCTCTTGCTCAAGCTGGTTTCGAACTCCTGACCTCGAGCAATCCGCCCGCCTTGGCCTCCCAGAGTGCTAGGATTACAGGCATGAGCCACCACGCCCGGCCAGGATTTGACTCCTGAAGGCTACAATTCCTATACTCACCAACATTTGGCTGCCATTTTGGTTCAGGAAGATAGAGTGATTAGAGGTTTTTCTCCTCCTTCTTCTGCATTAGGTGACTTCTCCTTCAGTGGCTACATTGTCCACCACTCCAGCCACCATCAGATAGTCCCACCATGATTCCAGATCCTGTTGAACCCAATACCTAGGCTCCATTAATGCTAAATTCCTCTCTTTGTCCTACCCACCTAGACGTGAGATTGACTTCCACATGTGGACAATTATTGGGTTCTCCAACTCTCCCCCATTTGGCTTCTCCATCACTTGTGTACTCAGTCCCCTGCATTAAATTCCCTCTGTATTAAATATTTATAAAATTTTCTATTTTCCTAGAAAATCCTTGACTGTTACACATGGCCAGTTATATTGATTGATCTTCTAGTGTTAAGCTTCTTTGCATTCCTACAATAAACCCAACTCTGTCTACAGCATTTAACGATGTTTAAATCTCTTCTATAACTAATGACAAAAAAAAAATGCCTTTGGAACCTGAAATCTCCTCCAAGTGACATTCTATTTCTATCATCATTTTCACAGTCTTCTCAAAAATAATTTTACACCCCTTATTTGGGGATATATATTGAAAAAGTTAATAGCATAAGTAATATATTCAACTTGTAAAAAATTCAAGTCATACACATAAAGCTATATAACACTAACTGGGTGATACAGCCCAAGTGATACTCAGAGGGAAATGGATAGCCTTAAATATATTAGAAAAGAAAAAATATTTAAAACATCTGCACAATTCAAGAAACTAAAAAATAAATACCATATCAAACTTCAGTTAGAAGTTATGAAATAATGAAGATAAAAGCAGAAATAATGAAATAATTAACAGTAGAGATAACTGACAAAACAGAATTCTTTGAAAATACTTGTAAAATAGACATTTTTTCAAGTAGGATCAATTACTAAAGAAAAAAGCATAAACAATGGAAGTTAAATAAAATTGTACAAAACATAGATACAGAAGAGATTTGAACAAGAGAACACTACATATATGACTGCTCACCATTGGTCATGGATGCAACAGCTCCCCATTTAGCATCTAAGCTGGGTCTTGGAGTCATTTTTTATAAGGGTTGCAGCTGGACAAATGCTCCAAGGTGGAAGGGAAAGGACATTTCCCACGGAGCATTTAATCAAGGAGTCAAGACCCAAGATGAGGGCTCTCATGAGTGAGAACTAAGGTGTCCACTCACCCCAGAACATAGGAGTCCCAAAGAATCCATCTCTGCCCTGTCAGTCATGGAAGACCCCAGGCAGTTGTCAGGCTGACCACTCCTTTAATTCTCAACAATACAGGCATTGACTTGTATAAGTAAAATTCTGCCTCAAGGGATTCAGGGCAGTATAAGCCTTAGTCTACTGAGGGCATACTCAGCTATGCCCATGGAGGTGTCACATGCCTCGGTAGGAATCGAGGTGAGGGCCCTGAGGGAGGACCAAGGCAGCCCTGGACTCCAGAACAGAAGGGGCCCCAGCACTGTACTTGTGGTCAGCTGTGGGAGATCCCATTGTAGTGTGGACGGAGTCCGAGGTTCCGTCAGGAGTCAAGGTTAGACACTGAAGGAGGACTAGGATAACCTTGGACCCTAGGACAGAGGGGCCACATCCCTGCCTCTGCCTTCAGTGATGTCAACTGACTTCTGCCTCAGTGGTTGACAGAGGTGAGGGCCTTGGTCTGAGATCAGGACTTCAGGTCGGCGAAGGGGAGAAGTCCCAGCCTCTGTTAGGAGAGAGGTGAGACGCTGAGGGAGGACTGAGGAGGCCCCACCCCAGGTAGAGGGTCCCCAAATAATCCAGCTCCCCCCTGCTGTCAGCGGTGGACCACCCCCGCGACAGACGCCTCAGGCTGAGCCCCTCCCCCAGCTTATTCCTCAGAGGACTCTGGGAGTCAGAGCCTGGTGTGACCCAGGCCGACTACGGTCCATAGAGGGGGGATCCAGGCTGGGCCACATCCTGATAGGGGGCCCCACAGTCCATCCTTGCCTGGCTGTCAGCCCTGGGAAGCCCCTGGTATGGGCCCGGATGTGACATACACCGACGTCCGCCAGGGGGCTGACTGAAGTGAAGGCTTTGGTCTGAGGGGTGGACTTCAGATAGGTAGGGAGAGGCTCTGTTAGGAGTCAAGGTGAGACGCTGAGTGTGGCCCGAGGAGGCCCCCGCCCCAGGTAGAGGGTCCCCAAATAATCCAGCTCCCCCCCTGCTGTCAGCGGTGGACCAACCCCGCGACAGACGCCTCAGGCTGAGCCTCTCCCCCAGCTTGTTCCTCAGAGGACTCTGGGAGTCAGAGCCTGGTGTGACCCAGGCCGACTACGGTCCATAGAGGGGGGATCCAGGCTGGGCCACATCCCGATAGGGGGCCGCACAGTCCATCCTTGCCTGGCTGTCAGCCCTGGGAAGCTCCGCTGGTGGGGCGGGATCTGACGTCCACTCCGCCTGGGGGGCTGACAGAAGCGAGGCCTTGGTCTGAGGGGCAGACTGGTCAGAGGTTGGTCTGAAAGTTGATCAGAGGGCCCAGCCTTTGTTAGGAGTGAGGTGAGACGCTGAGGGTGGACTGAGGGGGCCCCACCCCAGGTAGAGGGTCCCCAAATACTCCAGCTTTGCCCCTGCTGTCTGCCGTGGACCACCCAGGGACAGAAGTGTCAGGCTGAGTTCCTTCCCCTTAGGAGTCGGAGCTTGGTGTGAGCTGGGGCTGACTCAGCGCCATACAGGGCAGGGCCCTAAGGGAGGACTCAGAGGCCCCGCTACATCCGGATAGGCGGCCCCACAGTCCATCCTTGTCCCTGCTGCCAGCCTGGAGAAGCCCCAGTGTAGGGGGCCAGATGTGACACCAATGGACTTGCATCTGGGGGGCTGTCAGAGGTGAAGGCCTTGCTCTGAGATCCAGACTTAAGGTCGGTGGAGGGGGAAGGGCCCAGGCTCTGTTAGGAGTGAGGTGAGATGATGAGGGTAGACTGAGGAGGCCCCACCCCACGTATAGGGTCCCCAAATAATCCAGCTCCACCCCTGCTGTCAGCCTTGGGCCACCCTGGGGCAGATGTGTCAGGCTGACTCCCTCCCCCTTACACCTTAGGGGATTTTGGGAGTCAGAGCCTGCTGTGAGCTGGGGCTGACTCAGGGCTGTAGAGGGTGGGGGTCCAGGCTCTGCCAGGTATCGAGGTCAGGACCCTGAGGGAGAACTGAGGCCTCCCACTGCCCATCCTGTTCCACCCCTAATGTCAGTCCTGGGAAGCCCTGGGTGTGGGGACCAGATGTCATGTGACTTATGCCTCAGGGGTTAGAGAGAAGTTAAGGCTTTGATGTGAGTGGAAGTGACACAGGCTGTACCAGGCAGCCAAGTTGAGAACACAGAGATAAGGAGGGGAAGGAGCCTTAGACTTCAGGATAGGGGGTAACCCCACAGATGCCTGCCTCTGCCATCAACCCTGGGAGGCCCCGTGTAGGTGGCCTGACATGTGCGCCTTGACAGCCATCTCCAGGTCTAAGAGAGGGTAGGGACTTTGTATAGTGAGCATAGCCTCAGGTGAGCAGAGAGAGATGCCCAGGCCCTACTGGGAGACAAGAGGTGGATGGAGATCCAGGATCCCAGGACAAAGGGGCCCCAACCTTGCCCCTGCTTTCATCTGTGGGAGACCCTGAGCAGGGTGGCCACATATGATACATCCACATTTTTTTATGGCCATCAGGAAAGTGAATACCTTTGTCTGAGGGAGGACTAGGGGTACCCCATTCCAGAATAGTGGAGGCCTCACAAAAACATACCATGTCCCCACAGTCAGCCCTGGAAGCTCCAGGCAGGGTGACCAGATGTGCTCCCTCACTATTGCCTTAAGGGTCTGAGTGTGGTTAGAACCTTGGTCTGAGGGTTGGAGCTCCAGGTCAGCATAAGACAGAGTCCCAGGCCTGCTAGGCATCAAGGTGAGGACACAGGTAGATGAGTGAGGGGACCCCCTACCCCCGACAGAGAGAGGCCATCTGCCCCCTGCTCCTGTTGTTGGCCCTGGGAGGACCCAAGCACAGGTAACCAGATGTGCTGGCCCCAGACTTCTACCTGGTGAGCATGTCAGGGAGGAGAGGACCTTGTTCTGAGCTGTGCAGCCTCACATCAGCTGAGGGAGGAGTCCCAGGTTTTGTCAGAAGTCAAGATAAGTACCCTTAGTGAGGACTGAAAGTACTTACCCACCCCAGAAAATAAGGGACCCTACAGAGTCTGGCTTCTGTTTTCAGCCCACTGAAGATGCAGGTGGGAGCAGTAAGATATGCCAAGCTCACGCTCTCATGACAGTGGCGGTAGGGGCATCCTCAGGAGTTAGAGCTTGATCTGAGCTCAGAGGGATGATGTCAGATCCAGGCCCTGCCAGGATTAAATATAAATACCCTTAGGGTGGGTCAAGGGAACCCCCACCCCAAAACAGTCTGACCCAGGCCCTGCAGTCATCCCTGGGAGACGTGGGGCCCACTCACTGTCTTCTGCTCCATATCAGGGATGTGAGCTCCTGTTCTGAGAGTTTCTCAGGCCAGCAGAGGGGTGGGGTCTAGGGCCCTCCAGGTGAAAGGTAAGGGGCGTGAGTGAGCACAGAGGCAACAATCCACCCCAGAACAGTGGGGACCTCACAGAGCCTGGCCCACCCTCCTGACAACACTGGGGCCCCTGGTGCTGTGTGTGTATCTGTAGCCTGAGGGCCCCTCACTTCCTCTTACAAGGACCCCAGGAACCTGAGGTGAGACCTTGGTCTGAAACCGTGTCCTTAGGTCACCGAGCAAAGGAGGCCCAGGCAGTGTCAGGAGTCAAGGTGAGGTGCACACCCTGAATGTGTGCTGGAGGCCCTGCCTTTCCCAGGACACGGGGGACCCCACAGCGCCTGGCCCTACCCACCCACTGTCATCCCTGGGGCCTCACACTCTGCAGGTCAGCTGCTCCTGAGGAGCCATCTCATTTTCTTGTTTATGTGCGAAGGGGACAGGCTGACCAGGAGAAGAGCCCTGGGAGGCCCCAGAGCATCACCTGAGGAGAAGGCTTGTAGGTTGCGCTTTGTAAGAGCCCCCAGGGTGTGGTTCTCACTGACGCCACTGACATGCTCCCTCTCTTCCCAGGTCTGTGGCTTCCCATCACCCAGGTGCTGCCCACACTCCTGTCTGCCATCCCTGACCAAAGCCATCATGCCTCCCCGCCACTGTCAGAGGAATCAGCACCTTCAGGCCCAAAGAGAGGTGGAGGGCCTGGTGGGTGCACAGGCTCCTGGAGCTCAGGAGGAGGGGGCGGCTGCCTCCTCCTCTACTGTGACCCCGGGCACCCTGGAGGAGTTTGCTGCTGCTGCGACACCGAGTGCTCAGCGAGCCTTCTCCTTCCCCACTGACCTGGCCTCCACTCCAGGGTGCCACTCCTATGAAAGCTCCAGCAACCAGGAAGAGGAGGGGCCAAGAACCTCCCAGGACCCGGCAGAACAGGCGTCCGTGCTGCAAGAGGCACTAGAAGAGAGGATGTCTGATTTGGTTCATTTCCTGCTCCTCAAGTATCGAATGAAGGAGCCGATCACCAAGGCAGAAATGCTGAATATTGTCAGCCAAGATTACCAAGACCACTTCCCTGAGATCTTCATGAAAGCCTCTGAGTGCATGCAGCTGGTCTTTGGCGTGGATGTGAAGGAAGTGGATCCTGCCGACCACTCCTATGTCCTTGTCACCTCCCTGGGCCTCACCTACAATGAGGAGCTGAATGATGACCAGCGCTTTCCCAAGGCCGGTCTCCTGATAATCGCCTTGGGTGTGATTTTCTTGGAGGGTGACTGTGCTCGGGAGGAGGTCATCTGGGATGCGCTGGGTATCATGGGGGTGCATGCTGGGAGTGAGCATTACATCTACGGGGAGCCCCAGAAGCTCATTACCCAGGATTGGGTGCAGGAAGGGTACCTGGAGTACCAGCAGGTGCCCGACAGCGATCCTGTGTGTTATGAGTTCCTGTGGGGTCCGAGGGCCCATGCTGAAACCAGCAAGATGAAAGTCCTGGAGTATGTGGCCAAGTTCAATCGGAGAGACCCCAGATCCTTCCCACTCCTGTATGAAGAGGCTTTGAGAGATGAACAAGAGTGGGTGTGAGCAGGAGTTGCAGCCAGGGCAGATGGGGGGGCAGGGCCAGTGCACATCCAGGTCCCCTTCCAGCAGCTCCTCCTGCCCCATGAGAAATGAGTCCTCTCTTTACTCTGTGTTTGAAGAGAGCAGTCAGTGTTTTAAGTAGTGGAGGGCCCGAGTAGCTTGGGGAAACCACCAGAGCATAACCTTTTGTGCTCCTGTTACATTTGGGTGACTTAGAAATTGATCTTTGTTTTCCTTTTGGCATTTTTCAAATTTTGTTCTTTTTCATAGAAGATTTAGTTAGTTTCAGCATCTAAGTTGGTGAATGATATTGACCACGTATGTACTTTTGCTTGTCAAAAGTAAGAGTTTACTACTACTACTTTGTAAAACAAATGGGGAGAACTTCCATTTCATTTTGTTGCTTAGAACAAGGTGAAATTGGAATTTCATTACAATAGTCGTTTTCTTGGAAATGTGAAAGAACTTTGCATTTAAATATATGGAGTTGTGAAATAGAGAAATAAAATTTAAAGACAGTTATTTCTTGGCTTCTTACCCCTTTTATCTGTTTTTCTATAAAATTAAAATATATGTATGTATGTGAATTTGCTTGGCTTATTTGAGAATGCAGGAGAAATTTAATCTCAATAAATAAGAGCCCCTGCTCCCTGGCACATTTGTTCCCCAAGTATTCATTGAACATATGCTCTTTGGAAGGCCCTGGGTTAACGGAGACACTAGGGTAAGCCAGACCTGCCCCTGCCTATAGAATGAGACAGTCTAGGAGCTGCAGTCATATAATTAAGGTAGTGAGATGCCCTCTAAGTCCTAAAGAACAAATGACAGAAGGGTTGAAGGGTGGTGCTTCTGGTGAGAGCAGTGGGGTGTGGGTGCCCTGAGCCAGGGCGGTTTGGGGCTTTGGGAAACTGCAGTTCCTTCTGTGGGAGTTGGTTGTAATGAAGCTGGGTGGTGGCAGGGCTGGACTCTCAGGACCATGTGACTCATGACTGAGGGTTGAGAGCATATCCTGGAAGGGAGAACTGCCCTGAGCAGTTCCTTCTGGATGGTGAGTAAAGCAGAGAGGAATCTCCCCCTGGGGCAGGTGTGGAATGTGTCCCGTGCTCTTGACCCACTGCAGCTGAGCACAGTGCAAGAACCAGGTGATCAATAATCATCCTCTGCAGGGATTTCCTGAGAGATAAGGGTCAATCTGCCATGAAGTGAGGCCCCAAAGCCACTGGCCAGGTACTCATCTGCCTGGCTGGGAGAGCCAGAGCTGACCCTATTAAAATGGCATTTGTTCTACTTCAAGTTCTCCCCAAAAAAAAAAAAAAATGAAAAAAAAAATAAATAAAATGGCATTTGTTTTTTTTTTTGAGACAGAGTCTCACTCTGTCACTCTGGCTAGAGTGCTGTGGCGTCAGCCTAGCTCACTGCAACCTCAGACTTCTGGGCTCAAATGATCCTTCTGCCTCAGCCTCCCAAGTAGCTGGGACTACAGGCATGCACCACCATGCCCAGCTAATTTTTTCTATGTATTTTTGGTTGGCCAATTAATTTCTTTCTATTTTTTAGTAGAGATAGGGGTCTCGCTCTTGCTCAGGCTGGTTTCGAACTCCTGACCTTGAGCGATCGTCCTGCTTCGGCCTCCCAGAGAGTTAGGATTACAGGCGTGAGCCACTGGGCCCAGCCTTAAAATGGCATTTTAATTAGGTTATCTCAAGTGTAATTTGGCCAATTGTATGGGCTTAGATTTTGGGTGGTGATGAAATGGATGAAAATAGTGGTTTGGCTGGAAAAGCAGCTGGGAGGGAGGGAAGGAGTTGGTCCTTGACTCAAATTCCAGGAGCTTAGAGCTATATCCACCTAGGGAAGACTCCTCCACACCAAAATTAAATAATAAAGCATCTAGGATGGAATTTTTACTGAGTTTTATCTATGAAGCAACATTTTTGGCTGAATTGGTATTCCCTGTACTGTTGCGCTACATACTCAGAGGTTTCCTAGATAATAAGAACACTAGCAAAAACAAAATTCCCAGAGGAAAGTGTAGTAGGATCTGAGGTCTAAATACAGTAGTAATGCAAATAACTGCCAATCATTAAAGATCTAATATATGCCAGACACTGTGTCAGGTGCTTTACATACATTGTACACGTTCCAACAGTCCTATCAGACAGATCCTATCAAACCTATTTCACAGATGAAGAACCTCAGGCTGATAGGGCTTGGTAATTTCCCATAACCACATGGCTAGTAAGCAACGGGGTCAGGACTAGATCCCCTGCAGTTATGGACAGAATGGTGTCTGCCCTAAAAGTCATATGCTAACGTCCTAACCCCCAGTACTTCAAACTGTGACTGTACTTGGAGATAGGGTCTTTAAAGAGGTAATTAAGGTAAAATGAGGTCATTAGGGTGGGCTCTAATTTAATGACTGGTATCCTTATAAGAAGAGGAGATTAAGACACAGAGACACATAGAAGGAAGACCATGTGGAGACACAGGGAAAAGACAGCCATCTATAAAACCAAGGAAAGAAGCTTCAGAACAAACCGACCCTGCCATCACTTTGATCTTAGACTTCCAACCTCCAGAACAATGAAACAATACATTTCTGTTGTTTAAACCCCCTAGTCCATGGCACTTTGTTATGGCAGCCCAAGAAAACTAATACATATTGTCCGAATTCATCTACAGCCCACACCATTCCCACTCCTCCCAAACTGAAGTGGACCTTAGTCTTGCTTCATTTCTCTTCTCATGATTCCATAATGTTTCTCAGGCAAACCAAAGAAGGACTGTGGTCAAGGTACTAAAAGCAGGCCTAAAAAAGTGCTATAGAATGAAATATGTCCCCCCAAATTCAAATGTTGAAGCCCTAAGCCCTAGTGTGATGATCTTTGGTGATAGCGCCTTTGGGAGGTAATTCGGTTTAGTTGAGGCCATGTGGGTAGAGTCCTCATGATGGGATTAGTGCCCTTACAAGAAGAGACAATGGAGAACTAGCTTGCTCTTTCTATCTCTCTCTGCCATGTGAGGACACACAGAGAAGGTGGCCATCTATAAGCCACAAAGGAAGTCCTCACCAGACACCCACTACACTGGCACCCTGATCTCAGACTTCCCAGCCTCTAGAACTATGAGAAAATAAATGTCTGTTGCTTAAGCTCTCAGTCTATAGTATTTCCTTATGGCAGCCTGAAATGACTAAGGCAAGAAGGAAGATGGTAATGTGAACCAAATACAATTTAGAGATTGTATGTGGTTCCTTGAGAGCCAAATCTGCCCAGGTGCCAGCATTTTTGTGCAGTACCAGTACTTTACTGAATTACAGTGCCCTTTCCTGAGTCTTGCTCCATGTGCCTGCCTGTCCAACTCCAGAATCCATCCTGCTGCCCAGCTCTTTGTGGCTGTGTGAGGGGTCGAGACATTGCATACCTGCAAGACCCACACCCCAGTGAAGCCGGAACTAACATCCGGCTTCTGGAAACTGTTGCTTGCTTGCCATGGAAACCGTTGCTTGCTTGCTTGATTGCGCCAACTTTGCATTGTTTGAACCCCTGTATAGTGGGGCTGCCAGCCAACCAATCATGTTAAAGGTCAATGCATGATCCACGCGTGATCAGCCACTGCATAGCGTATGCACCATAGGGATAAAAGGCACGCTGCAACCCCAGTCGGGGTCCTTGCCTGCAAGAGTGACCACTGCGTTGGTGCTCTGGGGCTTGGACCTTGGCTAGCCAGAAAGTAAACCTCCTGTTGTGTAATTACATCCTCGATGTCTCTGCTTTTCTGTCCGGTGGGGCTGTGGAAGGTCGGTCCCTAACAGCTGCATCTTCTAAAGGCTGTGCCCTGCTGCCAGTGGAACAGCCCAGAGTCACCTCCCCTCCCCCTAACAGAGTATTTCTACTCTCTGCAGAAGTCCCTTAATTGTCCCTCTCCCTCACCCTGGAGGCCATCTTATAGCAAAGATCCATTTGACTTTGAATAGTGACCTTTAGACACCTGATCGTCCTGTTGGATGTCTTCAACACATTCCCAAAATGTTTTCCAAATAAGCTGGTGAATGGAGTCTGATTTGGTCATAATTTACCAGTTCCTGAGATATAACCCTGAAGTTAGAGAGAAATGTTTTGAACTCCCCACCCTGCCGATATTTACAACAGGATTTTAATAGGATGCCTTATTTGAAACTGGCCACTGAGCATATACATAGATCAAAGAGCTTTCCTGGGTGGCCAAAAACCAAACCCTCTCATATTAGTCAGCTTAAATGGCCATAACGAAATACCATAGACTGTGAGGCTTAAACAGCAGATATTTATTTCTCAGTTTTGGAGGCTGGGAAGTCTAAGATCAAGGTACTTGCAGATTTGATTCCTGGTGAGGGCTCTCTTCCTGGCTTGTGGACAGCTGCCTTCTCTGTATGTGTACACATGGGAGAGAGAGAGAGAGAGCAAGAAAGCTCTCTGATGTTTTTTCCTATAAGGGCACTAATCCCATCATGAGGGCCCCATCCTTATGACCTCATTTAACCCTAATTACTTCTGAAAGGCCCCATCTACATATACATCACATTGGGGATTAGGGCTTCAACATATAAATTTGGGGGGAGGGGACACAGTTCAGTTCATAACATCTCCTTTATATTGGTAAATGAGGAAAGACTATGGAAATCACTGTGAAACAAATATCTACTGAAGTTGAATTCCTAAAACTCTGGTATCCTCCTAGGAAGTTAAAAATGGTTCCTTAGTAGACATGGCAGCTCAGATTAAAAATGAAAGAATAACCATCTTTCCACTGTTTCTGGTGTATGTATCTGCCCCACAGGAAAGTTCTGGCTTTCAGGGTGTTTAATAACATTCTGTGCAGATGTTCAGTCATGCAGAGGGTAGCAGAGGCTCACAGGTTAAGATTTTGCCCTAGCTGTGCTTGGTGGCTCACACCTGTAATCCCAGCACTTCGGGAGGTTGAGGCAGGAGGATCGCACGAGGTCAGGTGTTTGAGACCAGCCTGAGCAAGAGCGGGACCCTGTCTCTACTAAAAATAGAAAGAAATTAGTCAGACAACTAAAAATATATAGAAAAAATTAGCTGAGCATGGTGGCACATGCCTGTAGCCACAGCTACTTGGGAGGCTGAGGCAGGAGGATTGCTTAAGCCCAGGAGTTTGAGGTTGCTGTGAGCTAGGCTGACACCACGGCACTCTATCCAGGGCAACGGAGTAAGATTCTGTCTCAAAAAAAAAAAGATTTTGCCCCTACATCAAATAAAAAGAGGAAGTCCTCAGCCTACTGAGATTACAGATGGTGCTACAAAGGATAGTGCAGAAAAGTGCTATTGTGTAAACAAGGCAAATCCTTCCTGCTGAGATTTACAGGATTCTTGGAAAACTACATGTGATCCTGTAATTTAAAGCACTTTAAAAAGTTGGAGAGCTTGAGGAAAATCTGGCCTTCTCAGAAACT